ACGGCCGTCTAGGAAGTTGCAGAGGAGTTTACGAGTAGTGAGAGGCAGGTTGAAGTTAGTGCAGAGTTTGTACCTGAGCCCTTCGTGCCAGTGTCAAAAGCTTTTTCAACGTCTTTTGCAACCAGGGCTGTCCTGTTTCTTTGTTTTGTGTTTATGTGGATGTAGTTGAGAATGATGTTAATGGCATCCTGTGTGGATCTGTGTGTTCTGAAGCCAAACTGGCCATCAGAAAGTAGAGAATTGTGTTCCAGGTATCTGTGAAGGCGATGATTGACGAGTTTTTCAAAGAGTTTTCCTAAAGTTTCGAGGAGGCTGATAGGGCGATAGTTCTAGGGTCAGAGTGGTCTTTATTGGGTTTAGGAAGGAGGATAGCAGTAGCAGCTTTAAAGAGGGAAGGGAAGTACCCAGAGCAAGGGAGACATTGGGGAGGTTTGTGTAGGCAGTAAATGATAGTCAGGAAGGTGTTTCAGGATAATATGGTTTAGGCCAGAGGCACCAGGGGCCTTGGGAGGAAGGTGTCTGAGGAGAGTTTTAATGTCTGTATTGGTGAAAGGAGTGTCAAGTTCTTGGGAGGAGGTAAGAGAGTCCAGATGGATGTGGCTGTCTGGTTGTGTTTGTGGTGTGTGTGGTGGTAGTGTTCCAATGTTCTATGTTCTGATGTGTTGGATAGCATTAGGGTGGGGTGGGTGAGGGTGGATGATGTTTCTCCCAGATGTGTTTGAAGATGTTAGTAGCAGCCTGCGGGTCTGAGATGTGTGTGTTGTTGTGGGTGATGTGTTTGAATTTGTTGGTGGGAGTGGTGCCTCTGATTTTTTTGATAAAGTTACAGAAGGCTTTGGTGTTTTTGATACGCTGTTTGTCCGCTTGTAGTATGAGCTGTGACCAGTGATTGTTGTGGTCCTGGTCTAGACTGTAGTATGTTGTTTCTGAGGTAAGTGAGATCTAATCGGACTTGATTAAATCTGTGTGTGTTGTAGAGGAAGCGGTTGTGGTAGCAGATAATTAGTCTTCTTGTTCTGATTGAGGGTTTGAAGGAATAACAAGTGGCGTGGGTTTTCTTTGGTATTGCAATGTTGGCTGCTTGTGTAATGGTGTCCTGGATGAGAGCAAGTTGAGTGTCAGTGTCAGAGATGGGTTTGTTGTTGGAGTCATAGGCGAGGTTAGTATTATCTATGTGTTTGAAGGCATCCCAGTCAGCGTTCTTGTAGGAGAAGGAAGGTGTGGCCGGGATGAGGAGAGGGTTGGAGGAGATGTGTAAGATGATGGGAATGTGATCAGAGCCTGTGATAGGGCCAGGTGACATGTAGTGTTGAAAGAGAGCTGGCTCGGTTTGCCAGAATGATGTCGGGTTTGCCTTGGCCAGTGTGGTTGTAGAAGGTGTTGAAGTCTGGGCCGAGGTGAACTAGGTGTTTGTGGTTTGTGAAGTTGAGTAATTGCTGACCAAGTTGGTTGTTACTGGTGTGATGAAAGGCGGTTTGGCATTCATATCAGCTAGTAGGTATGTTGGTGTCTTGGTGTAGTTGAAGACTAAGGAAAGATCGTGTATGTTGAGAATGTTTGGATGAGCATAGGTGGTGAAAAAGATGAAGGGTCCAAGGTGGGTGTGTATTCTGACCACAAGACAGTGTTGGTGAATAAAAGGGATTGGGAGAAATTCATGTTTTATGTTGGATTTGACAAGGATGGCAATCCCATCGTGGGGATCATAGGGGGACTGTAGTGCAGTATAACCATAATGGCGGATACATTGAGGGGCTTTGAGGCAGGTACTGTTTAGTAAAATAACATCTGGCCTCTCTGCTTCAAGGAGCTCGGCCAGTAAGTGTCTAATTGTAAAGTAAGAACGTACGTTGAACTGAATCACCTTAAACATGATTTAATGGTTTCGTCATACCAAAGTTGGTGTCGGGGGAGTTTATATTTAAGCCTGTGATAGTGGTGCCATTGGTGGATGTGTGTTTGTAGGTGTTACAGACCCGTTTCCTGGAGGGGGAGGAAGAGATGGCTCTGTTTTATTGTTCTTTAGTCTGTATATCAAAAGTTGGGGCAGGTTTAGGGCTGAGTGGATTTCGTTTGGAGGAGGAGTTGGACTTGGATGTGGTGGAGGAGGAGTAGGTGATGGTGGATGTAGAAGCTTTGGTAATGGAGGAAGAAGTGGGTAAAGAGGTGGTGGGAGTAGTAGTAGTAGTTAAGAGGGGTAGGGGAGGAGGAGTGTTGGTAGGAGGGGCAGATGTGAAGAGGGGTAGGGGCTGAGGGTGTTGGTGGGAGTGAAGTGTGGTAGGGAAAGGAGGAGAAGCAGGAAGGTGTAGGAAGAAGGGGAGTGGGAGAGGTAGGGGGTTTAGAAGACAAGCAAGAAGGAGGGATGATTAGAGAGGGAAGATTGTTAGCAGACAAGATTAGGTTAAGGACGTGTGAGCAGTCTGATTGGTAAGCTTGAAAGATTACCATCGCAGAGTGGACAGCAGTGGCAAGTTGACAGTTAGTTTTGTAGTCTAGTGTGGGTGTAGGTGTAGATGGAGAGGTGTTTGTAGTCTGTGTGTTGGTGTTTGATGTGTGTAGGGTAGAAGAGGTAGACCAAGTGTGTGGGGAGGCCCAGGCATTGGGGGTGGGGGAGGGCAGTTTGGTAGGGGAGGAAGGTATAGGGATGGGGTTGGGGAGGGAGGGAGGAGAGAATGTCTTTTCTAGAGGGGCAGGAATTTGCAACTGCAGTGTGGGACCCACCGCAGTTAGAACATTTAAGGGGGAGGTTGCAGGTATTCCAGAAGTGGCCAGTTGCTGAACATCTGGAGCAGACTTGTGTAGATGTGCATGTGTTTTTGTCGTGGCCGAATTTGTAGCATTTAAGACATTGTGTGATTGGGTGGAAGTTCAGAGTGAAGAGAGTGTTTGGAGGAATGCGGATGGTCTTGGCAAAGATTCCTTGACTGAAGAGTGTAGAGGTGTCAGAAGTAGAAGAACAGCGTATTTTGAGAATGGTAGAGTTTTCTGGTCTGTAAATATCGTCAACAGAGACTTTGTTCTTAGTACTGATGTCTTTTATTAAGTCTTCTTTGTCTGTGTCATAGGCTGTCAGGAGAGAGTAGTCTACGTGTTTAGCAATGACTGTGCTTTTGGCACAGTGCTCAAGAGTCCAAATAATGGTGAAGCCTGAGTTGAGAAGTTTTTGTCTGGTATCGGGTGAGGTGTACGTTTCGGAATGTTTGTCAAGAAGGGGGAGACTACTCTCTCCCGTCTTCGCATTGGCCATACTCGTCTTACTCATGGATATCTCATGGAGAGGCGTCTTGCTCCTCTCTGTGAGAATTGCCAAGCTCCATTATCAGTCGGCCACATTCTGTTGGACTGCCCACTTTATCAACGAGCACGCAGAATTTACCTCTGTCGTCGTCTTCGCTCCGCTGCTCTCTCTTTACCTTCCCTTCTCGCTGATGGACCCACCTTTCATCCGGACTCTCTCATTGACTTTTTGACAACGACTGACTGACTTCACAAATTCTGATACCTTCAGCCCTTTCTACTTCAATCTCTTGCTACCCTCTACCCCCGTACTATCCCCTGCCCCGCTGTTTTCTGTAACCTGCTGATCATCCCCCCTCCCTTCTGCCATCCAATTCCCTTGCTTCCTTCCCTACCCTGCAGCGCTGTATAGCCCTTGTGGCTTAGCGCTTCTTTTTGATTATAATAATAATAATTGTCAAGAAGGAGTTTGAAGTCTGAGTTGGTTTTAAAGACTAAGTTGAGGTGCACCAGTGATCTGATATAATAAATTTTCAGGACAGATAGTGGCATCAGGATTAGAGAATTTGAGGTTTAGCGAGAAGGAATTGGATTTAGAAGAAGCAGAGGCAGGTGTGGGCAGTTGGGGGAGAGTGGAAGGGGGGTGGGAGGTGGAAGGCAACGAAGGCATCGTCTAATTATGAAAAAATGAAATTGGCAGTGACAATCGGCCAAAAAGTGAGAGTACTCAGCCAGGCAAGTACGTGTAAGTAGACACAAGTACGTACTTGCCTGGCGCAGGACACTGAGGTGAACTGTAGCTTGATGGAGCACTGTATATCCTGAGCGGCGGCGAGACTGGCTGCATGGCATGCAGTCAACAGGCGTAGAGAATTCAGGCAGCAACAGGCTTCCTGCTCTTGGGTAGGCAACCACCGACACACCAATCCTTATGGTGGAGAGGAAGACAAAGGTCCAGCAAGCACCACTCTAAGTGAAGTCTCTCCCAACACTGGGTAATTCAAGAGAGGCGAGATCGTCGATGATCAATGACCGTGACACACACGTGATGACCGATGAACGAAAAGGTTGTTGTTAAAGATTCGCCAGTATTCTCCTGGCCTGGGCCTTTTCCAAGTGGTGGCCCGGCACTGGCTCCCTGTCTAGGGAGTGTCTGAGACCTAAGTCTTCCATGGGAGGAGGCACAAGTACCCCCCTCATCTTGTGAGCTACAAGCTCGGGCTCAGGCACCAACCCTGCCCTAGAAGGGCTGGGCATTGTGTTGATCATACTCATCTCCGGGACCAACTCTCCCCAGGCCTAGCCACATTCCCTGCCCTCACGGGGCATGTAGGGAGAAGTTAGGCCTCTCTGGTCTGCCATCCCTGCCCTAGAAGGGCTGGGCATGGTGTCGATGCTCCCGCTGGACCTCTGTGTGTGTGAACGAAAAGGAGAGCAGGATGGGTATATATAGGCAGGAGGTGGTAGTAGTAGTAGTAGTGGTAGTACCTCCCCACTACTACTACCTTCCACATCCACTACTACTACTTCCACCTCCTGCCTATAATATATACCCATCTTGCTCTCCTATTCGTTAGTGTGACTTTGTAAATGGCCCAAGTCGGACCGAAACGTCGTCGTAAGCTCCTCTCTTCTATGTGCGGGTTATTTGTGTATGATACTGTAACATGTTAAAACACCCCCTTATATCCTGAAATTGATGAAATGTATTAATTACAACACAAATATTCTGCCAGTTAAAAAAAATGAATGGGGTAGCTTACACCAGCAGACACATCCGCATGTCGCCTTCGCTGATATTTTTTCTTTTTCCTCTTGCTGTAACCGTGTTGCTGTGGTGGCGGCGGTGGTGTTGGGGGCTGCTGATGAAGCTGCTGCTGTTGACTAGCCACTACCACTGGGTACCCATATAGCACTGTTGGAACAAATAGTGAAGTTTATATGCTCAACAGCCATATTATAATCAAAACAAAGTGCTAAACTCACTTAGGTCAACAGCCACGATAATGTGAATGCTTACATAATCCTTTACCAGCGATACTTCATTGTATATACCAAAAATAATTAGGACTTTAGCTTAACCATGTATAGGAGTGAGGCTGATTCATTACCTCTGTAACTTGCCATGATTGTGACCAGATCTACCTGGAGTTCATTACCTTTGTAACTAGTTCAGCTATCATAACTTTGGGGTCCAGTCACTGGACCCATTATGTACCTTTGTAATCTTTTGACTACCGCCCACAGGATGGGTATGGGGTGCATAATGAAGATATTAAACTAAAGTGTGTGTGTGTGTGTGTGTGTACTCACCTAGTTGTACTCACCTAGTTGAGGTTGCGGGGGTCGAGTCCGAGCTCCTGGCCCCGCCTCTTCACTGATCGCTACTAGGTCACTCTCCCTGAGCCGTGAGCTTTATCATACCTCTGCTTAAAGCTATGTATGGATCCTGCCTCCACTACATCGCTTCCCAAACTATTCCACTTACTGACTACTCTGTGGCTGAAGAAATACTTCCTAACATCCCTGTGATTCATCTGTGTCTTCAACTTCCAACTGTGTCCCCTTGTTACTGTGTCCAATCTCTGGAACATCCTGTCTTTGTCCACCTTGTCAATTCCTCTCAGTATTTTGTATGTCGTTATCATGTCCCCCCTATCTCTCCTGTCCTCCAGTGTGTGTTGTGTGTGTGTGTGTGTGTGTGTGTGTGTGTGTGGTGTGTGTGTGTGTGTGTGTGTGTGTGTGTGTGTGTGTGTGTGTGTGTGTGTGTGTGTGAGACTCAACAATCAATATTTGCACCAATAACTCATTACAGTTGTGACCGGGTGTGGAAGTGTGAATTGCTCATTACTCTATAATTTGTTCATGATTGTAGCATGTATAAACGTAACCATTCTTACAGAATTCATTACCTTTGTAACTTGTGAGTTCATTACCTTTGTACCTAGTTCAGCTATCAAAACTTTGGGGGCCCAGTCCCTGGACCCATTACGTACCTCTGTAATCTGTAAATACCTTTGTAACTTGTCATGATTGTGACCAGACCTACCTGGAGTTCATTACCTTTGTAAATTGTGAGTTCATTACCTTTGAACCTAGTTCAGCTATCAAAACTTTGGGGGCCCAGTCCCTGAACCAATTATGTACCTCTGTAATCTTTTGACTACAGCCCACAGGATGGGTATGGGGTTTACCTGGAGTTTACCTGGAGAGAGTTCCGGGGGTCAACGCCCCCGCGGCCCGGTCTGTGACCAGGCCTCCTTGTGTGGGGTGCATAATAAACTAACTTTAGCTTAATATTTTTACTTTAAAAGCCTTAGGTTAATACTTTCGAAAAACAGTTCATACCAACCCTTTAAGTTGTAAGGATAAGTTTGTTGTCAGTTTTAATGTGTCAAATATATCTGATAAAATTTCCTAAAACTTTAAAGCTGATACATCAGTGCAAATATTTGGTCCAAAACTCATAGTACACACACAAAAAACTCTTTCGATTACTACTATTATTGTACATCAATGAAGAGCAGTAAACCCATAGGGGTCATACAGCACCTGGCGAGTGGGAAACCTGGGTTTCAATCCAAGAGAGCAATGTGTAGCGCGTTGTATCACGTACTTGTATAATTGTTTTAGGTCAAGAGAACTTCAGCATCTAATCATTCTATTCAAACAAGGTACTGTATATAAAATATATACGGCACCTGAGGGAATGGAAGGCAATCACTTTCGATCCAAGGGACGATAGGTCCAAGTCCTCGGATCGAGAACCCATAGCAGTTATCAAGGTGACCTGACCTGGCTAGATTGGGTCATTGGCTTAAGCCGGTAGGAGACATGGACCTGCCTCGCATCGACCAGTAGGCCTGCTGCAGTGTTCCTTCTTTCTTATGTTAACTTCATAAAACTGAGCTGTGATGAAACAAAAAACAAATCATATTGCGACTGACATTTGTACCACAACTCACGGTGCAAACTATTGCTGAGTCATCATCAGTGGTTGAACAGAAATTATTCCTATATATGATAGTGTATTAAATCGACAGTCGGTGGTAAATTAAATAATTAGTGAAGGGCGAGTGTGACCCCCGGGAGAGGACTGCACAGCGACCAACCCTCATCCCTGCCAACTCACCACTGACAATTATACAACCAGTTCTTTTAATATATAAATTATTGTTCGATGAAAACGATTACTACATATACTCAATGTGAATTAAGTTTGTTAGCATCTTAGAATATCGATATTCGTCGGTAAACTACAGTAAAACCTGAAGAATACTTCTCCCAGTGTAATGAGACTGCCTCAGTAAGTGCTGCCATCTGTGGCACACAAGTGTCAGGTTTAAAAGTCTGATATAGGGATCTTCATTATTATAGTTATATTTAGAAGGGGTTTAGGATCTTGAAATAATCAAGTTACACTGCCCAGTTGATGCACGACGAAGGTAACACATAACTAATGTTTCAAAGAAAATTACTTTGATTTAAAATAACGGACCGTTCATGAAAACGGTTATGAGTGTAAGTTTATTCAGGTTTACACAAATACAGTAACACAGATTATCATACATAGCAATATATGTATATGTAAAGAACCTAGGATAACTCAAAAAGACAGAGTGACGCCTGATTTTTATGTAAAATACAAAAAGATTTTTTAATTGAACTACAATCCTCGATCAAGTGATCCCTGAAGCAGCAGCAAAAACAACAAAAACAGCAAGAGGAGGAGGAGGAGGTGGTGCTGGTGCTGGTCGTGGTGGTGGTGCTGGTGGTGGTGGTGGTGGTGCTGGTCGTGGCAATGGTGCTGGTCGTGGTGGGGGGCTGGTCGTGGTGGTGGTCTGTGTGGTCGTGGTGTGTAGGGGTTAGTGGTTGCTGCGTGTGGGAGGTCTAGTCGTGCGTGTGTTGTCTAGATTCTGGATGTCTGGTCATGGCGGTTGGTGCTAGTTTATTGGTTGTGGTCCGTTGCGAATGTGCTGTAGTGAGTGATGTGCTAGGTACCAATAAGGTGGAGCTGATTTGTAATACGGTTTATTGACTGGATCTGAGGTAAGTGATCTGGTGACAGAAAAATAAAAACGCAAGTGGATGGATGGACGTGGTGGTGCTGGTGGTGTGTGGTGTGTGTGGTGGCATGGTGCTGGTCGTGGGGTGGTGCTGGTCGTGGTGTGGTGGTGCTGGTCGTGGTGGTGTGCTGGGGTGGTGGTGCTGGTCGTGGGGTGGTGTGCTGGCGTGGTGGTGGTGGTGCTGGTCGTGGTGGTGGTGTGGGGTGGGTGTGGTGTGGTGGTGTGTGTCGTGGCTGGTGCTGGTCGTTGGTGCTGGTGGTTGGTAGTGGTGTGGTGTGGTGGTAGTGGTGCTGGTGGTGGTGGTGGTGCTGGTCGTGGCGATGGTGCTGGTCGTGGTGGTGGTGCTGGTCGTGGCGGTGGTGCTGGTCGTGGCGTGGTGCTGGTCGTGTTGGTGCTGGTGTGGTGGTGGTGCTGGTCGTGGGTGGCTGTGTGGTGGTGCGGTGGTGGTGCTGGTGTGGTAGTGGTGCTGGTGTGGTGGCTGGTGCTGGTCGTGTGGGTGGTGCTGGTCGTGGTGTGGTGCTGGTCGTGGTGGTGGTGCTGGTCGTGGTGGTGTGGTGTGTGTGTGGTGCTGGTCGTGGTGGTGCTGGTCGTGGTGTGGTGCTGGTCGTGGCGGTGGTTGCTGGTCGTGGTGGTGGTGGTGCTGGTCGTGGTGGTGCTGGTCGTGGTGTGCTGGTCGTGGCGTGCTGGTCGTGGTTGGTGCTGGTGTGGTGTGTGGTGCTGGTCGTGGCGATGGTGGCTGGTAGTGGTGCTGGTGTGGTGGTGTGGTCGTGGCGATGTGGTCGTGGGGTGGTGCTGGTCGTGGGGTGCTGGTCGTGGCGTGGTGCTGGTCGTGGCGTGTGCGGTGGTGCTGGTCGTGGTGTGTGGTGCTGGTCGTGGGGTGGTGCTGGTGTGGTCGTGGCGGTGCTGGTGTCGTGGCGATGGTGTGGTCGTGTCGTGGTGCTGGTCGTGGTGGTGGTGGTAGTGGTCGCTGGTGGTGTGCTGGTCGTGGCGTGCTGGTCGTGCGATGGTGCTGGTCGTGGTGGTGGTGGCTGGTCGTGGCGTGGTGCTGGTCGTGGTGGTGGTGCTGGTCGTGCGTGGTGCTGGTCTGGTGGTGGTGCTGGTCGTGGTCGTGGTGGGCTGGTCGTGGGTGGGATGCTGGTCGTGGCGTGGTGCTGGTCGTGGCGATGGTGCTGGTCGTGGTGTGGTGGTGCTGGTCGTGGTGGTGGTGGCTGGTCGTGGCGATGGTGCTGTCGTGGTGGTGGTGCTGTCGTGGCGATGGTGTGGTCGTGGTGTGGTGCTGTCGTGGCGATGGTGCTGGTGGTGTGGTGGTGTGGTCGTGCGTGGTGCTGGCGTGGTGGTGGTGCTGGTCGTGGTGGTGTGCTGGTGTGGTGCTGGTCGTGGTGGGGTGCTGGTGGTGGTGGTGGTGCTGGTGTGGTGCTGGTGGTGCTGGTCGTGGTGCGTGGTGGTCGGTGCTGGTGGTGGTGGGTGGTGCTGGTCGTGGTGGTGGTGGTGCGGCGTGCTGGTGGTGCTGGTCGTGGTGGTGCTGTGGTCGTGGTGGTGGGTGTCGTGGGTGGTGGTGCTGGTGGTGGTGGTGGTGGTGCTGGTCGTGGTGCTGGTCGGGTGCTGGTCGTGGTGGTGTCTGGTGGTGGTGGTGGTGGTCGTGGTGGGGGTGGTCGTGGTGGTGGTGCTGGTGGTGGTGTAGCGGCCAGGTGAGGCTCTGACTTTATGGTTGTTGTAAAGCACCATGTTTATATTTAGGCTTTGGGTACATAATTTTTTTTTACGATTATCTTGAGGGCACAATGATCATATAAAAACTTATAATTTAGTGCGCGTGTAGCGTCAGCTCCAATGGCAATTTTTAGCTGAA